TTACACCAGGAAAGTGTGAAGGGCGACCCCAGGGGCCAGGCTCTCTGCTGCACAATTCTGCCCCCGCCGCGACGATCTTCTTACAATACTGCTAGGTGTCCCTGACACGCCTCCTCAGAAACACACCAGGCACCCTCAGGTGTCCCCTCCATCACTCCTGTGTGGGCCAAGTCTGTATGTGCACATGCAGACACGCACACATGCACACATACACGTGCACACAGATGCGCACACACACACACACACACACACACACACACACCAGCCACCCTACCCTCTCCTGCTTGGTCTTGGGTGTGTTTGTCACCCCTGACCTCAGCGCCTGTGTGCCCCTGCAGAGGTGACACTCATTAACTCTCCCCACACGGACGGCAGTGCGGTGAGGTGGAAAGGCCGCAATCTATCCTCTCTGCCTTGGTTTCTCCTGAGCCAGAGCAGCGGGGTTCAGTTACTCTGCGAGGACTGAGTTACAACGTCCGATGGGCACATCTATCAGGCAGGGGGCAGGGGGTGGGGGGGAATGCCGGAATGATTTTTGTGGGAAACCCTGCCAGTATCAATACTGAAATCAGTGTGCCTGAAATAAAACTTAAAGAGACACCCTGACTTTAACCAGGTGTTTGACTTCTACAAACAGGTGAACTTCCTATGTGCAGCGTTGTCTTACTCATTTGTAAATAAATTCCTGAAATCGGGGCACAGGAAAACAATCTGGGGGAAAAAATGGATGAAATCCTTTTTTTAAAAAATCTTCTTTTAAATCTGTGGCTTTAAAGAGAGAATTAGGCTCTGTCACGTGACTGAGATAACACAGAGACAGCTCAGAGGGTCAGAAAAGACGAAGCAAGATGAAGTCCAGTCCCAATAGCTGTGCGGCCCTACCGAGAAGCATGCCGAGCAACTGAGGAATCAGCAGAGGAGGAGGAGGACTCAAGGAATTCACCAGGGTCATGCTTGCTTTTTAATCGACGCCAACGTCACTTACGAAAACTCCAACTTAACATGATCAAAACCAACTTCCTGAGTCCCAACTTCCCCCTATCCTATTCCCCCCTCTTGTCCTCCTTCATCAGTAGAGAGAAACGCTTCTCCATCAAGGAATTGAGTCCTCCTCCTCCTCTGCTGACTGTCCTTCCCTTCTCCTTAGCTGAGTTTTGCATCTTCCGTCCCTGGCTAGGCTCTTGTCCTAGCAGATCTCAACCCCCTAAGCAACGTCGCTGAGTCCCCAACTCAATGCCCTCTGCGTGCTGCAGACACAGCCGCGTTCTCAGCTGGGACTTCCTGCCTCCGCTTCACCAGGGTCATGCTTGCTTTTTAATCGACGCCAACGTCACTTATGAAAACTCCAACTTAACATGATCAAAACCAACTTCCTGAGTCCCAGCTTTCCCCTATCCTAATCCCCCCTCTTGTCCTCCTTCATCAGTAGAGAGAAACGCTTCTCCATCAGATGCCCATGGAGCCCTCACACCCACACAGCACACCGGCCCTCGGCTGCCCTTCCTGGCGCCCAGGTGAGCCATCGCGACCCACGACCTCCCCCTTCCCATCTAGTCCTGCTCAGCGGCTCCAGCTATGCCTCGGGACTCCCTTCTTTTCCTGTGAGATTCTCTTATTCCCTTCTGCTTCCGCTCAAACACTAACTCACAGCACTGCCCGGGCCATGGACACACCCAATAAATCAAAGGGCCACTCCCACCCACCCTCACTCTGTTCCCTTATTTACCTGTAGTCCTCTGTGTATTTTCATAGACTTTATTGCTACTTGACATACACAAATTAGTATGGTCTATTCACACTGCATATGCCACATCCTCTCAGTCATGAGACCCAAATAAAAAGAAAAAGAAAAGAGCAAGAAAAAACAGAAAGGTTAAAAAGAGAAATATGTAACTAAGAGAATAAGAAAAAGAGAAGAGGGATGGAAGATGGAGGAAGGGAGGGAGGGAGGGAGGGAGGGAGGGAGGGAGGGAGGGAGGGAGAAAATCAGTCTTGTTTACTGTTGCGTCACTGTGAGTACTGTGTGTGAGACGAGACATTCTAGGGGAAATGAAGGGGGGGAGAGAGAGAGAAGACAAGAGGTGAGGGGGAAGGATGTGCTACACAGAGTTGATGACTTTGTTTAAAAAATCTGAGTTGACCAAAAGAACAACAAACAGAAATGCCCTATCGTTTTTCATAAAGGGACACAGTCCCCAAAGGCCATCCACCCATCCCTTCCAGGTCAAGCCAGGACTGTCCTGTGAGGTGCCATGTGATAGCTGCCACTTCTAGAAAGTACGGATAATGTTTTCTTACCTTGTGCAGCAAATATCCTAAGTAAGAATATGAACAAAAAAACGTTTCCGTTACTTTATTTTTGATCGATATTCTGTGGCTTATAATACTATTAATAATGTTGGTGGGAATGTCATTTGGTTCAATCTCTGTGGAAAGCAATATGGCGATTTCTCACAAAACAGGAATAGAACTCCCATATGGCCCAGTGAAGTCACTCCTTGGAATCTATCCCCCAAATACACACACACACACACACACACACACACACACACACACACACACGATGTTTTCAGTTGAGTATGTGTTGCCGGGAACTCCAGAATCTCGAGTCTCGTGCTAGCGTCCTTCCTAGGGGTAGAGACCCCCAAGAGTTGCTGCAAAGGTCTGGAACCCGTAGCAGGGAGCAGGAAGGAGGGGCTGGTGCCATCTGAGGAGTCACCACACATGTACGGCAGTCTGAGGACACACATGCACACACACAGTCCAAGGGCCTGAGTCACATGTGCTTTGAGAAACTCTTGCCATGTTGTATGCTTAGTATTCAACCACCAGTAACTTTGTAGATCATGGCTCTTTAATAAAATTTTTTTAATTTTAAAAGTTAAATAATTTTCAAAAGGGGTGAAAATTTGGCCGACTGGGTATTCTGAAAACTATCAGCCACATAGGTCATGACCATAGGCCAAAGAGATAGCAGAGCAGGTACGGCTCTTGCATGCAGCCCATCTGGGCTGATCCCCAGCAGTCCACACCATGAGCACAGCTGGGAGTGATCCCCGAGCCAAGAGAAGTCTCGAGCACTGCCAGTTGTGCCCGCCTCCAAAAGAGAACCCATACAAACAAAAAAGCGCCAAGTAGGTATTGATCAAGATATTATGTATACTCAGCAAAAATAATCTTGGGAGCAGACACTATCCTAGAAGATCAATGCTAGTTCTCGGCTTGAGATGAACTTCCTACCAGTTTGTCATTAATTAAAAGCAACACCGAATAACAGTAATGAGGCTCGCTGTGCCAAGTCGTTCTCATCATTTCTACAGGCCTGAAAGACAGTGTGGTGCCAGGGGACCCTCATCCTCTCTCTCCCTCCTCCCCCGGAAACAGGTGCTGGTCACTGTGAAAGCCAGAGAGCTGGAGGCCAGGTGCTGCCCGGTGGTCTGGGGACTGGGCCATGGGGAGGTGTGCGCTCTCGTGGGTATGATCAGCCTCCCCAGAGAAATTCAGCTGACGTGATGATGCAAAATCGTTCAACTGGGGGCTCTGGGGGCCAAGAAGAGCTCCCACCAAACAGGTGAAGGGGTGAAGATGGACAAACACAAACAAGACACTAAGAACAGTCCCAACTGATGACATGAAGAGAATTTATGTTAGGAACCCAGCAGGGGCAGGAGTGTGTGTGTGTGTGTGTGTGTGTGTGTGTGTGTGCGCGCATGTGTGTATGCACACGCACACATGTGTGTATATGTGTGTGTGAGTGTGTGTGTGTGAGAGAGAGAGAGAGAGAGAGAGAGGAGAGAGAGAGACCCCCTTGCTTGCCTGAGCTTTGGGCTTCCCTTCTCACAGCTCTGGTTGAGGTCGATGAGCCCCGGCCTCATTCACTCTCAACTAAAGCTCCTCTGGGCTGAAACCGGGGAGCGAACTGCAGTTTCCTCCCCACAGCCCTTGCCTACACGTGCCGCTACCTCAGACACGGGAGAGCAGTTCTGCCGGACCAGCAGCCCAGGATCCGGGCCTGCCCGAGGGCTCCTGTAAGAACCTGTTTCTCCCGAGCCTCACTTTCAGCCCTTTCGGCTTCTCCCAGTAGCTGCCAGCTGGGACAGATCCCTGCCTGCTCGACCCACCCCTGAAGCTCCATCCTCAGGATCTTTTTGCTGGGAGCTCTGGAGGCTGTGACCACCCCCAAGGGACCCCAGAGTGTGCCAGGAAGCTCTGCAGAGCGGGACGCCGGGTCCCTGGCAAGGGCCCATTTATCGGGCTTTTCCTCGGTCCCTGGCAAGGGCCCCTTTTCCCAAAGACTCTCCTTCGGGCTCTGGAGATGCAGGAGCGCCCGTGTGCATGAGCCTGTGAGCAGGACCACGACCATTCACACCTGTGACGCAGTGACCTCTTCACCAGATGCCATCAGACTGACCGGTGTCCATATTTATCTCCCTCTACAGCCCTTCAAGTCTCTCACAGTTCATAGCCTTCTCCAACCTCCGTGCTCACTTCCTCTTGGCCAAACGTCTGATCACTGACTTCAGTGATTTCCCTGAGACGTGACAGCCACCTCTTAGGCCCTAGACCCCAGGGAATGGCAGGCACAGGGCCCAGGCTCAGCCCCTCTGCACCGGGAGCGTCCCCGGGGGCAACCCAGTGAGGCCCCGCAGCCACCACCACGTGCGGGAGCCACATCAGGAGGCTGACTGGGCGTCTGCAAGAACAAACCACCCACACAGACAACGGCTCCCTCAGCTTCCAGATGCTGGGCTCTGATTCAGAACTTCCATTAGCAACTTCCGACCGAATCCAGAGCATCGCGTGGCGTGCTGGTCTTGAGGCTACCGGCCGGCCAGCTCTCTGCCTGCAGCACGCCTTCGGGTCAGCGAGTGGGCACTGGAGGACCCTCTCTGGGCCATTATCTCCCTAGCACACGATCATGTTACCACACAGAGAACACTTACCACAGGCTTATTATTTTCCTCTACTGAGGCAGCAGAAATGATATTCACATTACTTACCCTGCTGACTTCCTTAGGAGCCGATTCATCTAGGGAATGAAGGAAGGAGAAAAACAAAATTAGAAACCTGAGCAGTCCTGAAACCATTCTGAAATACAGCACATCAGCCTCCCGACCCCAGAAGCCTCTCCTATGATGCCTATCAGTGAGAGATGGAAGCTTGGCTTTAAGAATCGGTAATGACTGAGAGAGGCTGGAGTGATAGCATAGCAGTAGGGCATTTGCCTTGCACAAGGCCAGCCCAGCCGACCCAGGTTCGGTTCCTCTGACCCTCTCAGAAAGCCTGGCAAGCTACCTAGAGTACCTTGCCCGCACGGCAGAGCCTGGCAAGCTACTCATAACATATTTAATATGCCAAACACAGTAACAGCAAGTCTCACGATGGAGACGTTACTGGGCCTGCTCGAGCAAATCAATGAACCATGGGAGGACAGTGCTACAGTGCTACAATGGTTGGAAGGATAAAGCTGGGGTTAGACACACATTAATTTTAGAGAGGAAATGAAATACCAGAGTAGCTTGTCCACCGTTTTTGTGGCCGCCATTTAAAGGCTCAGAAACGACCATGCCCACTGACCCAGCGACAGGGCGGTTTACTCAGAACCCAACACAGCCGTGCCACCTGGGCACTGTCCGAACAACAGACCCACATGGACAGTGCAACTGACCGTCAGGGCTATGAGGACAACTGGTAGTCACAATCCTCTGGTGAAACACGTGAGGACTGTGCCATTCCTGTGAGGCCCATGGCGGACAGTGGTCAGCGCCGCCTTGTTCCAGGGCCCGGGCTGGGCAGTTGGGTCTTGGCAGCGAAACTCTCGGCTGCCCTCGGAGGCTCTGGCACTCCCCGACCCCTGCCACCCCGCAGTAGAGCAAGGGATGAAGGGAGAAGAGCAGGTGACGCTCCTCCCCACTTGCCTTCACTCCTCCTAGTGTCTCTCACGGACAGTAGGTGCCCTGGTAGGCAACACCCCGTGGGCATCTAGTCTATAAACCAAATTGCTGCTGAATACGACGCGCATTGTGGGTGAGGTGAAAGCACGTGAAAGAGAAGCTTTATCTGTAGTTGATTCTTCAGTTTTCATCGTGACTGTGACTTAGAAATGTCTCCTGTATTGCTTCCCCGACTTACTAGTCAACGTCGGCTAATCAAACGTCTAGTCAGTTCCCCCACATTGCAGGGCGGTAAGTACACAACAGGCTGCAGCAAGGCGCTATTCATACTCGCCGGTCTTCCCCTGCTCTACAGCACCAGCAGACAGCCCAACAGCCACACACGCACACACACACGCACACACACACACACACACGGAAAAGAGCTCCCCGGGCAAGACAGCAAAGAACTGCTAAAGCTCTTTGGAGATTATGGCCATGTCATGTTCTGATATGCTGTAAGCACCTGGAACTGAGCACAAAACTAGGCAGAGACTTGGTAGATATGTATATGAATATTTTGACACACGGGAGAGAAATGCACTTAGGGTCCCAGTGAGGCTTTCCCGTAGGAGAGTGGGAAGGGATCTATGTTGATGCCAGCTGGATGAACCCGTGTGAGAATCTGACTTTATACATGTGAATCGAGGCTCCACCTCTTAAAACCTTTCCATCAAATCTCCTGTTCCTGCGTAATCACTACTGATTTCACTGGTCAGCTTTGGACTTCTAAAACCCTTCAAAAAGAAAATCACAGGAAGGCCTGTATTACATGCAACAGTCGAGCAGGTGTTGGGAAGAGAAAGGGCGTGCGGTTCAGCTGCTCGTGTCCACTGGAAATGGAGAGACTTGGAGTCTCGCCTTACTGGCAAGAACAGCCCAGTGTTCCCTGCACAACGGTGGGGGGGTGGGGGGGCTTTCTGACACAGTCTGGGGCAGCAGCTGACCACCAGGGGTTGGGGAAGTCCCTCAGAAAGCACCAGGACACCAGGGAACTGCTACTCTCCAGGGTCACACACAGGCACTGGACAGACGCCTTAATCATTATTCACCAATGGTAAACTGATGTATCACCCAGGCGGAACAGTCCCAAGAAGTCAGGCAAATGTGTTTTTAAAACCACTACAGAAAGAACCAGAACGGACAAGGGAATTTAACAATTTTCGCTCTTTATTTATTAGCACAATAATGTTCCCCCTTTTTTAACATTGCTAGTAACAGTTCAGAAATAATGACGTAAAGACCATTCTGTATCAGTTCAGAAATAATGATGTAGAGACCATTCTGTATCAGTTCAGAAATAATGACGTAGAGACCATTCTGTATCAGTTCAGAAATAATGACGTAGAGACCATTCTGTATCGACTGACCATTCTGCACAGTGGCAGCCAGTGACAATGAATCAGCAAACATTCCTTTCCTTTGTCTGAAGCTTGGCATCAAATACCGTATTTAAAATATTTTGCTCTTGCCTTTGAAAGAGGACCTGCAAGAAAACTTGCCTTCTGCTCCTTGGCAATGAGAACACTAGGCAAAACATGTGTGTGTGTGTGTGTGTGTGTGTTTGTTTTTTTTTTTTAAAAAAGGTGTGCAGAGATTGGCCCCAGGTAGTCCAGGACTAGCACCCAGAGAGAACATGCCTGAAAGCCAACTGCTCACCCAGAGCAACACCTCAGAGAAAGCGACCAACCGCGGGGGGTCTTGGGACTGCCAAGGGGCCAACAGGGAGCAGGCGGAAGAGCTGACCTCATGGCCTCCATCAGCATGGAGTGCGCACCAGGACTTCCTTCCTCTCCTGCCGTCAGAAGCTCCTCTCCCAAGCGCTGGCTGGAGACCGGGGGTGCGGGGCATCATGTGTCCTGCGTTCCCTCCATGCCCTTTCTCTGCTCCAACAACAGAACCCTGAGCGCCACCACTGCACAGCTGCTGAGAGCCTTGCCCGTGACTCCCTTTCCTCCGGGCGGCCATGGGTCCGTGCTCCGGGGCTGGCATCCAACAGATGTGCCCAGGGCCAGGGGCAGGAGGAAAGGCCAGGTTGCCCATACCGCAGGCAGAGGAGAGCCAAGGGGTGTTTCAGGAAAGGTTTCAAGCAGGGACCAGCCGCGCTAGCCAGAGTCCACAGCAAGGCGGCTGGGAGCCACAGCCCCGCCCGTCAGAAATGAACATCCCGATTCCTATTGGCTGACAGACTCCAGCATGTTCCACCATGCCCAGAGGACAGTCTCGATGCCAAGAGCTGCTGCCATCATTCCACAGAGTGCCTGGCTTCCTTCTGCACCCAATCACCCAGTACAAGAAAGAAGAGTTGGAGACGGCGTTTACACCTGGAGAGCTGGCAGAAGAACTCTGGAAAACGGCCTGTTCTGAAACCCTGGGCCGATGCGCTTATCCAGGTATGCAAATACTGAGCATCCAGTATGTATCACGTGAGTGTAAAACAAGAGAGAGACCCTCTGAAAGTCGTCTCTGAGGGCACATGGACTGAAAAGGTATAAATGTATTTTTTTAAGATTAGCAGGAAGTGCAATTCATGAGCAGGACGAGATCAGATGAGAAAAATAAAATTATATTATATATTATTTCCCATACCCAACTTTATCTTCTTGTTCTTCTGCAAAGAAGACAAAAGACTGTCACTGTCTCTTAGCATCCTTTAAGTTAAATTAATTGAAAAAGGAAATGAAACGTTGTCTGTCTCAGGAAAGACAACCGAATTTGAAAGCTCTTTTCAGACTGCTGAAATCTGAAAAGCAATAAAAGAACAGATTCCCCAATGCTCCCAAGTAGAAAAAAAAAATCACAATTCCCAGAAAAAATATATTTTAGAATATTAATTTGGGTAACTGCAGAAGATAACCACTAACCAAAGATAAGTACATATTCTTAAATTAAAATCTACTGGAGAGCAATATTAAAGCTACATTTGCATGACACTACACAAATTAGCAAACTATAGCTACAGTATTGAACATCTAAAATTTTTTAATAGATTCTGTGTTATTTAGATGATACGAATGACTGAATATGCTCCAGGAAGCTCCTGGGACCAGGCAGCTAAGGCTCGTAACAAACTGGCCATGATCTGACTCCAGCTGTGGCCACAGACACTTTTGTGGCTTCAGATCTACGTGCTCATAGCTGGGCAGAGCCGTCTGGGTCAGCAGGAGGTGGAGAGTCGAGGGGACTGGACACCGCAATATAAACTCTGGGTTCCCACTCATAGTGTTCTTCCTATTTTCATTGTTCTAGCAGGGCAGGTCTTTCCGGTCAAAGCTTCTGAGTGAGAGAGAACTCTGCAGCAGGTTCCGTGGCCACTCGCTCCCTCTCAGCACGGCCTCTGCGTTCTCTTCCCGCCCCACACAGGCCAGAGCAACTTTATCCTAGCTCCTTGCACCTCGCAGGCTGAGTTTCTGCTGCAAAACTGAAAGCAGAACTGGACTCAGGGGGCAGGAGGCTGGGGACAGGGATGACTTCTGGGGAGCCTGAGAGCAGAGACCCTCCCCCAGGCACCCAGCCCACCCCGACAAAGGGCCAGCCCCACTGCCCTCAGGGGCCTCAGAGTTCCACCCCCCTCCCCCCACCAACGCCCGGCCAGGCCCACCCAGTCCTCCCAGTGACCCTCCAGATCATCCTTTAATTTATTCCTAGATCAGACAGCACTTTCTATCTCTAACAGACCCAGACCGCTATACTTATTAGAGAAAACTCAGTCAGAGTTAAAAGCTTTTCTCATTATAAGGCTAAGAGTGAACAAAGATTTGCTGATGACAGTGAACATCCATTTTGCTGATGACATTGTTCTAATAACATCAAACATTTGCGAAGCAGCACAAATGCTGGCTGACTTCGACCATAAGTGTGGAAAGGTCGGACTACAGCTGAATCTCACGAAGACAATGTTTATGAGAAACAGCCTCGTTCCTGATGCCCCATTCGCTCTCAATGGAACGACCATCTCCAAATGCAACAGTTACGTGTACCTAGGTCAAGAAGTCAACATGACGAATGACCTGGCTCCTGAGTTGCTCAGGAGGAAGAGAGCAGCTTGGGACACCTTCAAGAGCATCGAAGAAATAGCTAAGAGGACGAAGAACCT